CCTAGGTAATAACATTTCCACTATTATGGCATACCATTTTCAAAAGTAGGCAACCCAGAGTATTTCAAATGGTGCATTTTTGATCTAACCACTTTATCAGAAATGAAGGGCCCACATAGCGGTCATAGTTTTATTTGTTCTTTTTTCCACACATGAACTCACTTTTCACAGGACATTTCCTATATACTGGTATGAGTTATTGCAACAAAGGCTCACTATTTTTTCTAACATTGTCTCCTTAATATCACAGTACCCCCATGTACCGGATTTTCGGTTTTTTTGGGGAAGTCACAGGGACAAATATATTAGATGTCCATTTCAAAGTTGGAAATTTGACAAAGTGATTTCCTGGGCCTATTTCGCCTTTGAGAGAGCATGGCAGCCTGGGTAATAACATTTCCACTATTATGGCATACCATTTTCAAAAGTAGGCAACCCAGAGTATTTCAAATGGTGCATTTTATGATGTTTGGTCTAACCACTTTATCAGAAATGAAGGGCCCACATAGCGGTAATAGTTTTATTTGTGCTTTTTTCCACACATGAACTCACTTTTCACAGGACATTTCCTATTCCTGATGTGAGTTATTGCAACAAAGCCTCACTATTTTTTTTTAACATTGTCTCCTGAATATAACAGTACCCCCATGTACTGGATTTTCTGTTTTTTTTTGGGAAGTCACAGGGACAAATATATTAGATGTCCATTTCAAAGTTGGACATTTGACAAAGTGATTTGCTGGGCCTATGTGGCTATTTAGAGAGCATGGCAGCCTGGGTAATAACATTTCCACCGTTATGGCATACCATTTTCAAAAGTAGGCAACCCAGAGTACAACAAATGGCAGACCTTGAGATGTTTGGTCTAGCCATTTTAACAGAAATGATGGGCCCATGTAGCAATTTCTACTTATATTTTTGTCTTTTTAATCACATAAATTGCATTTTCACTAGAAATGTCATAATCCTAACATTAGTTAGTGCACTAAAAACTCAGTATTTTGATTTAACACTGTCTTCTGAATATAACGGCACCCCCACGTGTCATTATTTCAGATTCTTTCCGATAAGTACAGGGTGAAATATATGACATGCCCTTTTAGCTTGTAAGTTTGACAAAGTGATTTGCTGGGCCTATGTGGCTATTTAGAGAGCATAGAAGCCTGGGTAATAACATTTCCACCGTTATGGCATACCATTTTCAAAACTAGGCAACTCAGAGTACAACAAATGGCAGACCTTGAGATGTTTGGTCTAGCCATTTTAACAGAAATGATGGGCCCATGTAGCAATTTCTACTTTTATTTTTGTCTTTTTAATCACAGAAATTGCATTTTCACTAGAAATGTCATAATCCTGGTATTAGTTTGTGCACTAAAACCTCAGTATTTTGATTTAACACTGTCTTCTGAATATAACGATATCTACATGTACAATGTTTCCAGGTTTTTAGTATATCACAGGAATAGTACAGTACCCCTAAGTACACTTTGATCTGAAGGCAGAGAGAGGCAGATAGAACTTTTTTTTTTTTTTAAATTCTTTATTTTTGTTGTGCTTGACCTTTCAAAGAGTACTTAATACACAGTGGGTAGTCTAAACATAATTTGTCACAACATAGCATTCCAAGTGTATAGGTAAGCCAGCACATTTTTTGTGTGTAGAAGAAAATGTAAGTATGACAAGAAAGACACAGTGCAAGTGGATACGAACAGTAGAGTAGTATGCATGTAGGCTCTATGCACTGGGAAATAGCTTTATAGAGTAGGAAGTTATTTGCTGTAAAGGTAGATAAGCTACAAGCTTAGACTCCCCAGAGCCCCCCCAAGCAAGCCATGAGTAAAAGACATAAGATTCGAAAATTAGAATTGGCACATAGGCTGTTTCATTGTCTAGATATACTGCCTGGGAGTCCTGTCAGAAAGCAGTCCCCGATAGAGCACTGGAGCCAACCTCTGTCTTGCAGGGGCTGTGTACAGACCCTCCATAGACGTCCCAGCATGGGGCTCAGTGGTGTACTTGGTGACGTTGGGTTGCTGTGTGGCATTCAGGTAAGTCCCGTGTGGGTAGTGGGGATCCCCTCGATGGTCTCGTGATTCTGCAGTCCATGCATCTCATGGTGGCCCTCGGCCTATAGCTTCGGTCCCCGTTATAACAGGAGCCTCTTTCTTCACTTTTTGCCGCACTCTGTAGACTCCATGCGCTTGTCCGGGTCTGAGTAGCAGGCCTTGGGTCCCTTCTGGTTTTTCTTTCGCATGGTGCAGTGATGGTCATTGCATAAGGGGGCATGCTGCATTCGCCATCTTGTGGTTGCGTGAGTGCCTGTTGATTCTCCCGAGGGGAACCACTTGTCTTCAGTGCTGCCAGGGAGCCTCTAGGGAGCAGACCGGGATAACCCCCACCGGTCCAAAGGGGAATAAGCACTAATCAGCAGCGCAGGTCTAGGGCAGGGATCGGCCGCATCCCCACTCACTCAGATTCTCTAGGCCGCCCAGCCAGCTCCGGCTTCCCCGGTAGCGTGGACACCTGGTGGCATCAAGACACGCACCGGTAACACCGTGGTCGGTGCAGGAGCACCCCAGGAGCGCCTGGCATCGTCGAAGAGGGTACAGATTGCAGTAATATCTGCTTTTGTTGGAGTTCGTGCCGGAGCTCTCCCTAGATGCCTCCGTCCGGCATGGCGGTCAGGCCCCGCCCCCGGCAGATAGATCTTTGACTCAGATACTGTAGCATTAACCCTGTGATTAGTTTTTTGCTTTTTTTGTGAAGGCACATTTCAAGTACTACAAATGTAGTATTTTGAGTTGTTTGGTGTAGCCACTTTAGAATGGCTAGCATAAACAGGGACAGGCCAAGGTCAGGGGAATCCAGAAGTGAGAGTAGTCGGTAAAACAAGCCAATGGGTCGGTACAGGCAGCTAACAAAGCGTAGTCAGGACAAGCCGAGGTCAGAGAATCCAGGGGAATCAAGCAAACAAACTTCCAAAGTACCATACAGAGTGATTTAGTAGTTCAGCTCTATGGTAGACTTTGAATCAGTCTGTTATGCAGAGGGCGGGTAGGGATGGACAGGAGGGGCAATAATAACTGGAGTCCTTTCGGACTCCTCTTTTCCAGCAAACACGGCATTTTCGTTGGGGTGACCTTTTACAGGGTGTGGGGGGGGATTCGGGAAGGGAAATGTTTGCTTAAAAGTCGTTGGACATCTTCTGATTCCTAAGGAGGGTTAGGATTTGGGGTCTGGGCAAATATAATTTGAGACAAAATTTGGACCATAAACTCTAGAAATGGGCATGGTCTACATATGGCTTCCTTTTTATAAAGCACATAGGCATTGAAAATTGCAATCTGGGTTATGTAAATTGCAATTTTCTTGTACCAGGTCCTTCTCTTCCGGTTCACCAGATAGGGCTGTATGCACTGATCAGCCAAGTTTACTCCCCCCATAAACTTGCTGTAGTCAACAACGCACTTCGGCTTCTCCAGCTGCTCAGTTCCACCTCTCACAGACACTGGCACTGAAGTTTTGTCGTGCATTGTAGACAACATGTACACATCTTTCCTATCAGTGAAGCAAAGGGCAAGCAACTCATCCTGGTGGAGCGCTGAAAGGGAGCCTCTACTGCGTCTACCTCTTGCCAGGATTTGGGGGAAACCTCTACGATTCTTACGCACTGTGCCACAGGTTACGGTCTCAAAGCAAAATAGAGTTTTAAATAACTCTATGCTTGTGTAATAGTTGTCAACCCATAGCCTGTATCCCTTATTTAACAAGGGAAGGATTAGGTCCCATACTATCTTGCCACATGTACCCACAGAATCAGGGCATCCGTATATCGCAGTGACACCCCTCTAGATTAAATGGGCGGGAATATGGTAGTGGGACGTGAGGTCGAGAGGTCAACCCAGACTGTACAAGGGACACATATCATGCCACGGACACAGGGTCACCCCGGGTCCTGACGTGGGGGGATACACCACACAGAGTACGAGGAAACCACAGAGATGTACAAGCCCACATGGCGATACAAACTAGCTCCACCCATACTCCATACGTTGGAGATGGACGGATCACACGTAGGGGGGAATAAGGGGACAGCTGCCACTTAAATGCGGATTGACTTTGCGACCTTATTCGGACCCAATACTCGCATACCATCAGGTTGGAGGGTTGGACATGGGACTGACAACCGCCGCTTACGCAAGGCAGCCACTGACTTCCAACGCAGGACAAACAATACAGCTGGTGACCTTACACTGGGAGTAGGGAACCGGGACACCTGGGGAGGGCACTTCTGGGGACTTGAGGGACGGATAGGGGACTATATACTGGTCAATTCCTAACATGCTGTGATTGTTATTAGGATGCTTTGTTGCTACCCATGTTGTTGTTCTGTTTGTTTTATTTGTTCATTTATGCACTAAATTGCCTTATGGAATGTGTATGTTCAGCGAACACGGGGTGTTATGTGGACGGATATCTCTTCACCACACACACCTGATACCACTTGGTTGGGTATTAACCCACGTAGCCCCACTCATACTCGTGCTACAGACTCGCGACGGACCACAGCGGGACACTGTCTAGAGGTCTGGTTACCAGGACGTGTTCCTTGTGCTACCCGCCGCAGCACGAGTCACCCCAATCCTAGGGGTGGCACAGGAGGGGTACCTCTTACCCCGGCATAGACACCCAGTGGACGGGAAGTCTACTCCACTTCTCTCTTCTCTTTTCCTTCTGCCGTCTAACCCACTCCTACTTTTGTCCACCTCCATCTTCTCCCACTCACTCTCCCCTACTCGTCATCTTCACCCCCCTCCCCTCACACCAACCGCTCTACACCTCAACTGCCCTCTACGCAGCAGACTCTCTCCCCTGCCTGCATCTATTGGCCTGCCACGGGGACCTGCGCCCTCGCGGGGTGGTTGGGGCCGTCATAGGGAGGGAGGAGGTTTGGGAACTTAGCGCTCACCACATATAACCTGCATACGCTAAAAACCATGGCATACCAGCCGGCACCCCTATCTGTCCTCACTCTCAACTGCAGGGGACTGAACATCCCAGAACGGAGAACCCACCTCCTACGTGAGCTTAGGAAACGACACGCATCGGTTGCGATGCTACAGGAGACACACTTTCGATTTGGCGCAGCACCTACTCTCCGCAATAAATTCTACCCGACGAACCACTTCTGCAATCACCCTACGGCAAGAAAAGCAGGTGTAGCCATCTTACTATCTGCGGACCTGGAGTTCCAAACGCTGGATACCGTTACTGACACGCACGGCAGATACCTTTTTCTGAAAGGGGTAATAGCGGGTAAGCTATATACCTTTGCCAACATTTATGTCCCCAATAAACGACAAGCAATGTTTTTAAAGAGCACACTGGCAAAATTGAACGACTTCTCGGAGGGCATCCTAATCCTCGGAGGCGACTTCAATGTCCCACTGGACCCCATTCTGGACTCCTCCACGGGGCACAGCAGCATCTCACAATTGCATTTACGAGCAATCCGGAGGATTCTGGGCAATATGGACCTCGCCGATTGTTGGAGAACGCTTAACCCTTCCGCGAAAGATTTTACATACTACTCAGCAATTCACGATAGGTACTCACGCATCGACTACCTTTTTATCAGACAAGCGGGGTTATCGCGAATAATATCAGCCAAGATAGAGCCTGCTACATGGTCGGATCATGGTCCCGTGGTTATGGAACTCGAGTCTCCACTTTTTCGCCCTGCTAAGTGGACATGGAGACTCAATGAGACTCTACTCCTAGACCCCGGCACGCGGGAACAAGTATCGCAAGCCCTGACTCACTATTTTCAAGATAACGCGTCACCGGACATGTCTCCAATAACGATTTGGGAAGCACACAAGAGCGTCCTACGGGGCACGCTTATACGCATAGCTACACATAAGAAGAAAACAGCGATGAAGGAGATGGCTAACCTATACAGAAGAATCACAGAACTGGAAAGCCAGCATAAAAGATCGCTCCTCATGGAGACATACCGGGACCTGATGCAATCCAGGCGACAACTAAAGGAGCTCCTTATGAAACGCCATCACCGCTCTCTGCAACGCTCTAAAGCTTTCTTTTACACCCACGCTAACAAGGGGGGGCGATACCTTGCCCGTTTGCTGAGGGGCCAAATACCCCGCACCCAGGTCCGTAAATTACACCTCACATCAGGCGTGATCTCAAGCATGCCGGCGGATATTGCAGGGGAATTCCAGCTGTTCTATAGATCCTTGTATAACCTCGACGCGGAGAACACACAGGCGCACTCGGCGATGATGATAGCACGCACACGAGATTACCTCCATGACACGGTCGAACCAACCATCTCTCCTGACACAGCTATCGACCTGGAGACCCAAATCACGGAGGATGAACTGGCAGCAGCACTGAAGGCAACCAAGAAGGGGAAGGCACCAGGCCCGGACGGATTTTCCGCAGGCTACTATAAAACATTTTCATCTATAGTCTTGCCCTGGCTTACCAAGGCCCTCAACGCGATTGCAGATGGGGGTCGCTTCGGAGTCGAATCTTTAAAGGCCACTATCACGGTTCTTCCTAAACCCGGAAAGGACCCGTCACTCTGCGGTAGCTATCGTCCGATCTCGTTGTTGAATGTTGACACCAAACTGTTTACGAAAGTACTGGCTACCAGGCTCCAAACCATCCTCCCTACTCTCGTACACAAAGACCAAACGGGATTTATTCCGGGCCGGGAGGCGAGAGACAGCACGCTTCGGCTCTTCGCGATACAACACCAGGCTAGGAAGACACGACAACCCCTTCTCCTGATTTCCACAGACGCTGAGAAGGCGTTTGATAGGGTGAAGTGGTCACATATGTTCGCCACCCTTGGCCAGATGGGACTGGGACACAGATTCCTCACGATGATTCGGGCCCTGTATGATAAGCCACGAGCGGCAGTGCGAGTCAACGGCACACTTACCGGAGATTTCGAGATATCCAATGGTACAAGGCAGGGATGCCCCTTATCCCCTCTACTTTTTGCTATCTCATTAGAACCCTTGCTCCAGAGGATACGCCAGCAACCCGACATCTGTGGCTTTTCGTGGCTGGGCACGACGCATAAAGTAGCCGCATATGCAGACGACCTCTTGTTCTACATAACAAATCCTCGAATTGCGATACCCTGCCTGCTGTCGGAATTTGAGACATTTGGTTCGATCTCTGGCTTCAAGCTTAATTTATCTAAATGCGAAGTGCTAAATGTGTCAATGCCTGAGGACGAATACGCGGCCCTGGAACCACTGTTCCCGTTCCGGTGGTGCTACCAAAAACTGAAATATCTGGGGATCTGGATAACTCCACACCCTAACGACCTGTACCGACACAACTTCATCCCTCTCCTGCAGAAAATAACAGAGGACTTGAAAAGATGGGCGCACCCGCACATCTCATGGCATGGACGGGTAGCTGTTCTGAAAATGAACATTCTACCACGCCTGCTTTATCCGTTCCAAACACTCCCACTGGCCATACCGACCACTTTCTTCTCCGCGCTGAAATCTGCAGTCATACGATACGTATGGCGAGGGGAGAGGGCGAGATTACGGTTTGACTTACTCTGCCTCCCCAGGCATCGTGGTGGGCTAGCTTTGCCCGACTTCAGGAAATATCATCAAGCCACGGTCCTGCAGCGCGTAATGGAGCTTCACGCAGAACCCCAACAAAAGCAGTGGGTGGCATTGACCCGGGACAGCCCCGACACTCCTGTGCAACCGGTCATCTGGGGAGGGGGAACTAGAAGAGTATCGCGAATAACCAACGAAGGACTACTGGAACAAACACTATACACTTGGAACTCCATGAGAGAGGTAGCCCATATCTCACCTACACCTAGTCCAATGCTTTCTATCACTCATAATAAAGAGCTCGGAGGCGGGTTTTCACCGGCGATGTGGCCTTTTCTGGAAGGACGTGAGTACGTTCCAATCCACACGACACTGCGGGATGGATCAATGCGATCCATAGATAGCCTATTAGAGGGGCGACCACGGACGCCACTGGCAATACTCCGCTACCTACAAGTGAAACACTATCACAATAACTTGCGGGACAAGGAACGACTGCATAGGGACCGCACATGGTTCGAGGACTGCTGTGAGAGGAAGATCGTATTGGATAATGCTATCTCTTTCCTTTATCAACACATCCTGACGGGGCACCTGACGGCGAATGCAATGTTCCGCAGGCAATGGGAGGAACAGATGGACACAACCTTTACGCCACAACAATGGGATAAGGCACTTCTATGGCAACACAAGAGCTCCGTTAGCTCTCAATATCAAGAAACAAACTATAAATTGATTACCTTGTGGTATCGGACCCCGGTTCTCCTACATAGGATCTTCCCAACTGCTGCACCTACATGCTGGAGATGCCAAAGGGATAGAGGGACGATAATGCATATATGGTGGGAGTGTAGCGCAATAGTCCCATTCTGGGATATGATCAAACAACGAATAACAGATATATTGGGCGAAGGGACGGAATGGTCGGCTGCTTTGGCTCTCCTACATATATCGCAGATGCCGTTATCCTCCTATAAGAAATCGATTCTCAGACATCTCTTGAACGCGGCTAAGTCGCTCATTCCATTGTATTGGAAACGGACGGAGATACCCAACGAAGAAGATTGGATCCGCAGGGTTGAAGATATCCAAGGAGCTGAAACACTACAAGCATCCATACAAGACAGAGGGGACAAACATGCCGAACGGTGGTTTCCATGGTTCACTTTCATGTCACGAAACACAGGGGGCTAGGACGGTGACCCGGCGGCTTACGCGGGGGCGCAGGGCCCTCTGGGGCAAGGCCAATGTGCATGTCCTAATTATATGAACCCTACTCCATCCACGCCTCCTGTAGAATGGATACACCTCTGCGACCCCCTCATTCTCCCTCTCTTCTGGCCATATATCTAAACTACCGCCAGTGAATGGTTAAATGACCTATTTGACCCTAGAACACGCACCTGGCCGAAGATGGAGGCCACAAACCGAACACACGTAGATAAGTGACATTGAGCGCGCTATATGTTAAGCAGAGTGCAGTGTATCTCTAGAGGACATAATACCCACTCCCACCACACTCTGATGATGTAGGCGTGGTACAACTCTAGCAAATTAAATCATGACCTCCTCCCTTCCCCCTTCTCCTTTCCCATTCTTGCTACTGCTTTCTACTCAAACACTCTTTGATACGCACTACCTTAGCTCCCCTGTGTGCGGTTCGCACTTACGGGGACAGGCTGAGACGTTGCAAGCCTCTGGAAAAATGTATGTAAAATGGTATTCATAATCTCTTATAATTCACGGGGCGAGAGCCCTATAGCCAGTATTTGGTGATAAGTTCTAGATCCTGCACTGGCTCCCTCATCTCCTCATACTCTTGTAAGGGCGTCTATTACATAATAACACAATGGAAGAGTGGATGCCAATAATGGTCTGGAGATATTATGCAATGCTGTGTGATTAACGTTGTCTTATATGAAACTATATTGTATCTTGTTACAACTTTGTACTTGATTTCATCCTTATTTCTTCAATAAAAAGATATTGATAAAAAAAAAAAGAATCAGGGCATCCTGGTGGGTCAAGATGGCTATCGTTACCCTGATAAATACAAAACGCCCATGTATATCCAGATTTTGATTCACACAATTTATAAAATTTTACTCCGTATCGGGACAGTTTAGAAGGGATATACTGTTTAAAAAGTAATCTACCCTTAAATTTCATTAAGGACTCATCTATACAAATATTTTCTTCAGGGACCTAATTTTGGGAGAATTTGTCTGACAGGAGTTCAATTAGGGGCCGAATTTTGTACAGCCTGTCAAACAATGGGTCGTTTCTTGGGGGGCACAGTGTGTTGTTGTTAAAGTGGAGGAAACGCAGCAGCTGCTCATAGCGATCCCTCTTCATAACCCCAGGGAAAAGAGGGGTAGCCAGGATGGGGTGCTTGTACCAGTAGGACCTAATACTCGGCTTTTTGACAATGCCCATAACTAGAGTTAGGGTCCAAAATTTGCGCATTTCCGCGAGATCCGTGGGGTGCCACATATTACGCCTATTGTAATGTGACCCCGGATTCGCAGTCAGATATTGGTTGGCAAATAAATTGGTTTGCTCAACCAATAACTGAAATACTTCCTCTGACATGAACAAATCAAAATATTTTAGGGGCTCCCAAGCATCCAGTGATGCCAGGGGTCGTCGTAAATGGGGGAATATCTGGGGCTGTCAGGTTTGGAGGCACCCAGTCTCCTTCTGGCATTGGGCTTGCTGAGCGTCCTCTTGTTGGTGGTGGTGGGGCACCATCACTAGAGGAGTCAGTCATAGCCTCAATGTCAGAGGCAGTGATAGTGTCACTGTCCTGCAGAGTGTCACTATCACTGCCTGCCAGAATGGCATACGCCTCATCAGCCGAGTAGCGGCGTGCCATTCTAGGGGGGACTCATTGTAACAGTGATCGCAGTGACTAGCTGTCACTGCGATCACAAACTGCCGATCAACA